TCCGGTTGCCTCCACTAGGATGGAGCGTACCTACGCTACATTACGCTACCTCCACCTGTGTGAAGCTTCCGTTTCCCGGGAGTTCCGTTACCAAGTAGAGATGTAACCTGGGCGTGTATCCCCTGCATGGCGTACAGGAACACAGGCAAACACAGGTGTCTCTTTTGCTACAGGCGCACAGCTGTAGATCAGTACCCTGCTAGAACCCTGAGCAACAGGCATGGATACATGCAAATGATACGTGAAACAAACAGGAACCTGGATGTGTAACACTCCGTGTTTCAACCCTCCACCCCTCCACCCCTCTTTCACCCCTCCACCCCTCCATCCCCTCCCACCCTCCCACCCCTCGCGCCCCTCCCACCCCTACCCGTCCCACCCATCCCCCTTCATGCGATCCCTAATTAGTTTGATCGTCGCACAGCTTCCCAAGTCTAGGTTTCTTTCGAAGGTTTCTTGTTTAGGGGTTCTTTTTGGTACCTAAATTGGTCTGAAGAAGTGCCATAAGATCCTTGCTGATGGACAATACGTGTTTGGGTGGGGTGGAGGAGGTGGTGGAGGTGAGGGGCAGTGGAGGGTTGAAGGGGTTGGAGAGGAGGAGGGGGTTGGGGGGATTGGGGAGGGGAGGTGGTGCTTGCGCGGGTAAAGGGGGCGGGGTGGAGCTGGAGGGGGAGGGGTGGAGGGTGCCGTGGAGGTAGTATAAACCAAGGAGTTTGTTGAGCATATGGACGTAAGGCCAAGTCTCCCCCAGTGCAAGGCCCTTCCGACGATTTGTCAATGACAGGTTTGACGAACAAAATGCAGGGATTGAAGCTGCCCGCGATGTTAGTAAAGAGCCGACAGAGGGACCTTCAGCGCTCCGGTGTTGTCAGTGCGCATGCACATGTCGCAAGACAACAAGTCCTACGCGTGCAGGCAACAGGAGATGGTTGTGGTTCTGGCCCCAGCTGAGGGCGGGCAGCCCCCTTTCAGCTTTCTGGTCAGACCCTGAACCCTAACCCATAAATCCATCAAGCGCTTTTTCCGTTTTCTTGCACTTCCTGTAACCCTAAACCTAGTTGCTCTTCAGGGCAGGTCGAAGCGAGCACCACCATCGGGATCTGAACTATCAAACTGCTCAGAAAGCGTTGCGGCAGCGAGTAGCAGCCCAAAGCTGGATGAGTCAGGCCCTGACGGCAGCATCTGCAATACCATCGATGCAGACAACGAAACACCTGCAAGAGACACGACAGACGAAAACCGCTGCCATGCCAATAACATCAGTTTAGCTTGTTTTGTGGAAGAGCGGTGCAAGTGGCTTCGGCAAGCCGGAAGAACCATGTGGGAAGATTCGACCACCTTCACATGTATGCATCGAGGCCCCAACTGCCTCCTGGAGCAGCAGGGCACTTCGTGCCCACCGGCCTCAGACGGCCTTGGGGGAGTACCCCGGATGCACTCGCTCTGTTGAGGCTGGGTTTGCACATATTTTAAGCGTCGCAAAAATGACTTTTGCGGAGAATTTGAGGTTGAAGGTTGCAAGTGAACTGCTACGCACAACCTCCCGAACCGACCGTAAAGAGAGGCGGAGTGAATGTTGGCCCCGAAAAAAGCACATAATGTTCACTTCATACAGTATCAAGGATGTGATCCCCAGCCTCCGGAATAAGAGTTCGGATCCAGCAGAGCCATTGAACTCCAGGAGCCTTAAATCCTTGTCAGTTCCTTTGAGCTTTCATCTATATAAGCAAGATTCTGGTTACATGTTTTCGGCTCCGGCCGCTTGGATTCTGCAAATGGAGGGGGGGGGTTCTAATTACGTTCTGTGAATTGGATTTCGCAATTACGCGGGGGATTCCAAATATGAGGTTGACATTAAGCAAAACTTACGATACGAATATCCCGTATGAATCTACAAAACCTGATGAAGCCCAGTAAGGTGGGGATATTGGGATATGCCTGCTTGTGCTTAGGGGGGTGGGAGGGGGCGAGGGTCCAGGGGGGGGGCGCGGAAGGCGGGAGGGTGGAACCCAAGCCCAAACTCGATTTTTGCCACAAAGTGCAACCTGAGAAAGACGCCGCGGTTTCCGGCCTGTGCGGTGCGGATACTATCACATGGTCCCATGGAACCCCGGCCTGCGGCCTCGGCGCTGTGATCCGCCAGTGCAAAAAAACAGCTGCAACTTAGGGCATGTCGTGCTGCAGTAAGATTCGGGTAGGTTATGCTGCAAGTGCCAACAGTTCACTCTTTGTTGCTTCTTTTAGGAAGGGACACAAGCAACGGCTCCGAACGGGAAGGGTCACGGCGGGGGGCGGGAAGGCCAGCGACAAAACACTGTTTCAGCGGTCAGGGAGGAGGGTAATACCATCATTACCTGGTCGCACGGAACCTGACCAAGACGCCCCCGGCCTTTACTAACTGCGAAGTATCAGCGCCTGTTGTTCTGTCGGTGGATTTCCTCCCCATCTCCAAGCTGTTACAAGGTCTGCCGGGCCACGTGCGGCGACGGGGTGCGAGGCCCCGTGGAGGTGGAGCGCTCGGAGTATTCTGGCAGAGCAAAACCCTAAGCTGTATGGAATTATTAGTTGGTGTGAGAGGATGCAGCGACTACAGACTGGTGATGATGATGACGATCGTAATCATAGTGCAATGGTTTGTACTATGGTTGTAACACCCCGTCACTCCCACATCGGCAAGTCATTGAGCTTCGATTAAGGCTGACGTTTCAGGGTCTAGGGCTTTCATGGCCAGAGAGGCGCTCAACCGAAGACTGAACCCCAGCCAATGGTTGCCCAGGAGTGTGATGATGGGAATTCTGTTAGCGGGGACGGCTGCTCTGCCACCTGCCAAGTGGAGAGGCTGTATGCAGGGGCTTGATCGATATGAGTGTCGTTGTAAGTGCTTGGTTGATTCATCTGTCCGCGAAGGGAGCTCGGGAGGGGTAAGCGCGCAAAGTCAATAGACAGACGGGCCAGGTTCGATGGAAGGTATTCATGCACGTGCACATCATGTGTCTGTTTACGACACGGAAGCAAGCGTGGCCATGAACAAAGATGTGCAACATGTGGATTCGATGCACATTCCAATTTGATTGTGTCTTTTCGTTCGAGTGTTTATTATGAGATTGGTCGGACATCTCAGCTTTTTGCATCTGCAGACTGACTTCTAGGATCTTCTTATCTAAGTCTACATGGACGAAGGTATGTGGTCGGTAGTGGAAGGCACGAGTATGAAAGCACCAGCAGCAGCTGTCGCACAGGAGCAGTGTCACTCTTCAGCTGAACGGTCCATATAACCCCGAGCAAGGACTCAAGGTTCATCTCCGAGGCTTCTAGGGACCTTCCGTTCCAGTGACTGAAGTGAGTCCCGCAAACATCTTCGACAGGGGATTCACGTGCTCCGGTGGTGGCTTGAAGAGCATGGCCGCTGGCCCGGCCGAAAAAGTCGTTTTCAGAAGCATACACCGGCCGTGTTGTTATACTATCGAGTGAAGTAGCAGCATGTCCTCCCTACGCCCCACAGCCCTCGACCTAAGGACACCTGTTGGCCGATCTGTGGAGACGGCCTCCGAGTGGACCGAACATACGCGCCTACCCTTGCAGCTGACAAGTTGGAGGCAAGACTTAGAGGGTTGATCATGGGAACCAACAAGCATCTAGCAGCCGTCAACGAGAAAGAACCCACAACATCAAGAACGACAGCGACAACGACAACAACAATGCCAGCAGCAGCAGCAGCAGC